CTGCAACAACCCTATATTCCCAGTAAAAAAAAAAAAAAAAAAAAAGTGGGAGAGGATGGAGATTTGTGCAGGACTTGAGGTCAATAAACATGTCGTATTACCCAGGCACCCAATAGTCTCCAACCACATACCTTTCTATCAGTTATACCCACTACCAGCCAGTGTTTCTCAGTGTGGATCGCTGTAGTGCCTTTTTTAGTATTCCTGTAAATCCAGACAGCCAGTATTTGTTTGCCTTTACTTGGAAAGACCCAGGACTCAACACTCAATTCAGTAGATGACCTTCTCCTTTGTTGAGACACACTCTTTCTCCCAGGAAGATAGCCTATATTTACTCAAAGAGTTAGCCACCAAGGGACACAAAGTGCCTGAAGACAAACTTTAGCTATGCTTATCGCAAGTTAAACATTTGGGGCATATAATCTCCGTCAAAGGACTGATTAGTAACCTGACAGAGTGAGAGGAATTTTAGCTTTCCTAATGCCCATCACTAAGAAACAACTTAGAGGATTTTTGGGCCTGTCAGGCTATTGAAGAAACTGGATACTAAATAGACAATCTAAGGTCACATCTCAAGAAACCAGAGAAACAAGAACAAACCAAACCCAAACCCAACAAAAGAAATAAAATAACCACGATCAGAGTAGAACTAAACAAAATTGAAAAAAAAATTCAAAAGATAAATGAAGGCTGGGCGCGGTGGCTCACGCCTGTAATCCCGGCACTTTGGGAGGCAGAGGCAGGCGGATCACAAGGTCAGGAGATCCAGACCATCCTGGCTAACACCAGGAAACCCTGTCTCTACTAAAAATAAAAAAAAAAAAAAAAAAAAAAAATTAGCCGGGGTGGTGTGGCCCCTGCGGTCCGGCCTACTTGAAGGCTAAGGCAGGAGAATGCGCCGTGAACCCCGCGGGAGGCCGAGGTGAGCAGAGAGCGCACGCGAGTCGAGCGGAGCGAGAGAGAGCTGGCGTCGGGGGAAAAAAAAAAGAGAGAGTGAGAAGATGAAGAGCGCGAAAAAAAGCTGGTCCCGCCGAGCAGGCGGGTGGTCTCAAGCTGTAATCGCCAGAGCTTTGGAGGCGAGACGAGTGTGGATCACGAGGTCAGAAGATCGAGGACCATCTGGCGAAGCACGGTGAAAACCCCGTCTCTACTAAAAAATACAAAAAACTAAGCCGCGGCGAGATGGTGGGCGCCTTGCTGAGTCCCAGTTACTTGGGAGGCTGAGGCAGGAGAATGGCGTCAACGCCGCGGAGGCGGAGCTTGCAAGGTGAGCTGAGATCCGCCACTCACTCAGCCCGGGCTACAGAGCGGCAGACTCCCGTCTCACAAGAGAAAAAAAAAAAAAAAAAGCTGGTTCCTTCAAAAGATAAGTAAAATTAATAGAACATTAGCAAGATTAACCGAAAAGAGAGAAAAATCCAAATAAGCTCAATCAGAAATGAAAAAGGAGATATTACAATTGACACCACAAAAATGCAAAAGATTATTTACGTACATAAATTAGAAAATCTAGGGGAGATGGATAAATTCCTGGAAAAATACAACCCTCCTAGATTTAATCTGGAATAATTAGAAACCCTGAAGAAACCAATAAAAAGCAACAAGATTGATGGTAATTAATCAATTACCAACAATAATAAAGTCCAGGATCAGATGAATTCACAGCTGAATTCTACCAGACGTTCAAAGAAGAATTGGTATCAATTCTATTAACAGTATTTCACAAGAGGGAATTTTCTAAGTCATTCTATGAAGCCAATATCACCCCAAAACCAAAACCAGAAAAGAACATAACCAAATAAGGAAACTACAGACCAATATTCCTGATGAATGTAGATGCAAAAATTCTTAACAAAATATTAGCTAACCTAACAGCATATCAAAAAGATAATCCACCATAATCATGAAGGTTTTATACCAGAAATGCAGGGATTGTTTAACATATGCAAGTCAATAAATGTGATACACCACATCAACAGAATTAAAAACAAAAATTGGATGGGCGTGGTGGCTCACGCCTGTAATCCCAGTACTTTGGGAGGCTGGGGCAGGAGGATCATAAAGTTAGGAGATCAAGACCATGCTGGCTAACACAGTGAAATCCCGTCTCTACTAAAAATATAAAAAAATTAGCCGGGCGTGGCGGCGGGCGCCTGTAGTCCCAGCTACTCAGGAGGCTGAGGCAGGAGCATGGTGTGAACCTGGGAGGCGGAGCTTGCAGTGAGCTGAGATTGCGCCACTGCACTCCAGCCTGGGCAACAGAGCGAGACTCTGTCTAAAAAAAAAAAAAAAAAAAAAAAAAATCACACAATTATCTCAATAGATGCAGAAAAATCATTTGACAAAATTTAGCATCACTTTTTAATTAAAACTTTCAGCAAAACTGGCATACATGGGACATACCTCAATGTAATAAAAGCCATGTATGACAACCACACACTCAACATAATACTGAATGAGAAAAAGTTGAAAACATTCTTCAAGAACTGGAACAAGACAACGATGTCCACTCTCACCATTTCTCTTTAACATAGTACTAGAAGTCCTAGCCAGAGCAATCAGACAGGAAGAAGAAATAAAAGGTATCTATCCAAAGCAGCAAAGAGAAAGTTAAACTGTTGCTGTTTGCTGATGATGTGGTCGGATACCTAGAGAACCCTAAGGACCCTTCCAAAAAGCTTCTAGAAGTGATAAATGCATTCAATGAAGTTTCAGGATACAAAATTAATGTACACAAATTAGTAGCTCTGCTATATACCAACAGCGACCAAACTGAGAATCAAATCAAGAATGCGACACTTTTTATAATAGCTGCAAAAAAACAAAAACCAAACTTAAAAATATACCTAAACAAAAACATGAAATACCTTACAAGAAAAACTACAAAACCCTGCTGAGAGAAATCATTGATGACGCAAACAAATGACAACACATCACATTCTCATGGATGGGTAGAATCAACATTGTGAAAATGACTATACTGCCAAAAGCAATATAAAAATTCAACGCATCTCCCATGAACTCATTCTTCACAGAACTAGAACAAACAATCATAAAATTCATATAGAACCAAAAAGGAGCTCACATAGTGAAAGCAAGACTAAACAAAAATAACAATCTGGAGGCATCATATTGCCTGACAGCAAACTATACTATAAAGCCATACTCACCAAAACAGCACTGTACTGGTATAAAAACAGGCACACAGACCAACAGAACAGAATAGAGAATCCAGAAATAAACCCAAAGACTTACAGTAAACTGATTTTTGATAAAGCAAACAAAAACATAAAGAGCGGAAAGGACACCCTATTCAACAAATAATGCTGGGATAATTGGCAAGTCACATGTAGAAGAATAAAAATGAAAACTCATCTCTCACCTTATACAAAAGTCAACTCAAGGGGGATAAAATACATAAATCTAAGATGTGAAACTATAAAAATTCTAGAATACTGAAAAAAATTTTATAGACATTGGCTTACTCAAAGACTTTACGACCAAGAACCTAAAAGCAAATGCAACAAAAACAAAGATAAATAGATGGGGCTTAATTAAACTGAAAACCTTCTGAAAAGCAAAATAAATAATCAGCAGAATTAACAGATAACCCACAGAGTGAGAAAAAATCTTCACAATCTGTACATCTGACAAAAGACTAATATCCAGAATCTACAGAAAACTCATACAAATCAGCAAAAAAAAAAAAAAAAAAATTCCACAAAAAAGTGGGCTAAGAACATAAATAGACAATTTTCAAAAGAACGTATACAAATAGCCAACAAGCATATGGAAACATGTTCAATATACCTAATTATCAGAGAACTGCAAATCAAAACCACAATGTGATACCACCTCACTCCCGCAATAATGACCATAATCAAAAAATAAAAAAATAGGACATGTTGCCAGGGATGTGGCAAAAAAGGAATGATTTTACACTTTCGGTGTGAATGTAAACTAGCACAACCACTATGAAAAACAGTGTGAAAAAATTTTTAAGAACTTAAAGTAGATCTACTGTTTGATCCAACAATCCCACTACTAGGTATCTATCCAGAGGAAAAGAAGTCATTATATGAAAAAAGATACTTACACACGTTTATTGTCTATATGTCTATTTGTATATCAGCACCATGCTGTTTTGGTGACTATAGCCTTATAGGATAGTTTGAAGTAAGGTAATGTGATGCCTCCAGATTTGTTCTTTTTGCTTAGTCTTGCTTTGGCTATGTGGGCTCTAAGAGAATACAATTTTGTAATTTTCAATCACGTGGCTAAACCTGGCAGACAGTACATTAGTCGAAATTAGCCAGGCACAGAAAGATAAGTATCTCATGATTTCACTTAGACATGGATTCTAAATAACTTAATCTCATTGAAGTAGAAAATAACATGGTGACAACCAGATGCTAAGATATTTAGAAAAAAGAGGGGTTGGAAAGATATCTGTTAAAGAATACATAATTATAGTTTGTTATGAGGAATGAGTTTAAGAGATTTATTCTGCAGCCTGGTGACTTTAATTCATAATAATGTATTTTTGAATAATGTGAAGACAAGATTCTCTCACTAGAAAAATGTTAACTATGTGAGGTAAAGCAATTAAGAATTAAGCATTTGATAACGTATACGTACTTCAAAACATCATGTTTGGCCAGGCACAGTGGCTCACGTCTGTAATCCCAGCACTTTGGGAGGCTGAGGTGGGCGGATCACAAGGTCTAGAGATCGAGGCCAGCCTGACCAACATGCTGAAACCCTGTCTCTACTAAAAATAGAAAAATTAGCTGGGCGTGGTGGCACACGCCTGTAGTCCCAGCTACTTGGAAGGCTGAGGCAGGAGAATTCCTTGAACCTGGGAGGTGGAGGTTGCAGTGAGCTAAGATCGCACCACTGTACTCCAGTCTGGTGACAGAGTGAAACTCCATCTCAAGAAAAAAATAAAATAAAATAAAATAAATAAAGTTTAAAAACCATGTTTTACCAAATAAAGACACATTTTATCTGTCATGTTAAAAATGTATTTTTAAACATTATAAGAGGATAACAATGTTTCAAATACTGTGTTTTTGTCATAAACTTGGTTGAATGACACCAAAAATATATGATTTTTGTGCTGTTTTTGTCACTTAATTTGTCAATCATAAGCATAAGAACTTTGAGACTTAACCGCATGTTCCGGACCCAGCACAGTACGTGGGAGAAGCCAATGTACTATAGGGCTTTTACTTAAAGCTTGGGAAACCTGGAATTTCTGGTGCAGACTGTAACAATATGAAAAACACTAAAAGGTCAGGTGTTGCTTATGGTTCCATGACTACCCACACAGTAAACAAGTTTGCTTACAAATTAACAGAAAATATTTTAATCCAAAAGCTGCCATGATCTCCAAAATTTTTCCAGAGAAAATGACAAGGGAGTTGGCTACAGTTAGGTGACTTAAAATGAATACTGTAGACTGAACTTTACACCCCCTAAAAATTTTACATAGAATAAGAGAAAAATCTCTCCAAATTGTAACATCAACATGGAAAAAAATATTATTCCAAATTTCAAACCCACAAAGTTCGTTTTATTATTTTGCAACACTTCACATTTACATGTAAAACTAAAAAAGAAAAAACTGCATGGAAACATAAGATGTGCTATAAGTGTATCATAAAAAATTAAATTTAAAATTCTTCACTCACCATTAACTCTTAAGAATTTCTAAGACATATTTTCTAGCAAATTTTATATATGCCACGATTTGTGTAAGAAACTAACAAAACTTTTCTTTTACACACATAGGAAAACAATGCTAACTGATTTAATCCTCTCATCTGTGGACAGTGTATGCCTATTATAGTAATTAACTGATCTCAACGTTATATTAATAAACAAATTCTCCAGTTAAAATCAATTTTTTAGTGCATTAAAAAATACCAACTTTCTCATCAGAACCTACAAAATACCATGTGAAATGACATGGCATGAAGACAACAGTGAGTAAACTGTAATCATAACACAGAAAAAGGAGAAGGGCTATAATGCATACATAGTTGGAATACAATAAAATGACAAACAAAACAAGATAATTAGAATAGAAGCAGAATTTGTTTAAATTCAGCAAAATTCAGCTTTGCAGCCTGTAATAAATGTTCTTTTCACAAGAAGAGTTAATGTTATTTCTTCACAATTCATATTTTCCATCTCTGACTTGAAGTTACAAACTAACTCCAGCAGAAATATTTATGGCTTATTATGGAGCGTCTGTTACACAGCAAGCACTTTCATGTTTTTTTGCTACACTTATATTAAAAAAAATCCTCATGACTTATAAAGCCTCCCCAGTATTTACCTGAACAAATCGGTTCAATAGTTAAATTTACTTGTGTCAATTATAAAAATGAAACAATAACTAAAGAATAGTAAGCTTGGCCAGGCGCGGTGGCTCATGCCTGTAATCCTAGCACTTTGGGAGGCTAAGGTGGATGGATCACCTGAGGTCAAGAGTTTGAGACCAGCCTGCCCAACATGGTGAAATCCTATCTCTACTAAAAATATAAAAAGTTAGCCAGGTGTGGTGGCACATGCCTGTGATCCCAGCTACTTGGGAGGCTGAGAATCACTTGAATCTGGGAGGTGGGGGTTGCAGTGAGTTGAGATCATGCCATTGCACTCCAGCCTGGGCAACAAGAGTGAAACTCTGTCTCACAAAAAAGAAAGAAGGAGAGGGGGAGACAGACAGAGAGAGAGAGAGAGAGAGAGAGAGAAAGAGAGAAAGAGAGAAAGGAAAGAAAAAAGGAAAGAAAGGAAAGAAAGAGAGAAAGGAAAAAAGGAAAGAAAGAAAGGCAAGAAAGAGAGAAAGGAAAAAAGGAAAGAAAGAAAGGAAAGAGAGAAAGGAAAAAAGGAAAGAAAAAAAGGAAAGAAAGGAAAGAAAGAAAGAGAGAGAAAGAAAGAAAAAGAAAGAAAGAAAGAATGAAAGAAAAAGAAAGAATAGTAGGCTTATACAGGGTTCTGCAATTAAATGGAATATTCTAACTAAAAACATAATACACTAATTTTGGAATTACATCTAAAAATTATTTTGTGTGCACTACTACATTTCATTAAAATCATTCATATAATCCCTTACCAGCTCATATAATGAGTACTTTATATACTATATAACAAATAAATTATAACATACAAGATAATTATGAGTCTAGCATGAGTACCAGGCAAGAAAAAAAAATTGCATGGGGAGATTCTGAACCATAAGCCTTAATATTTTACAGTAATGAATTCAATAGAAAGCAGAGATCATAGATTTGTTTCCAGCATTTTTGAAGTTTTTAGTTTGCTAGTAAATTAGCTTATGAAAATGCTTTGTTTCAATATTGCTTTTTACTCTGAAAATGAGTACAAACTCATACTTACACAAACACACTTCATAATTTACTTTCACCTAACATTTATCTTTATAGTAATATATATATATATATATGTTTATGTAAATAAAAATTAAAAGTCTGTGTTTCCAGGAGAGGGCACATGTTCATAGAAAAATATAATAAAATTTAAAAAACTATTTAGGACTCAGAAATGTATAAATTTTATGTATATGTCTATGTAATTTTTATTATGACCTAAAATGACCTGGTAGTCACTGACAGTTTAATTGTACATTTTAATATAACTAGAAGTATACAATTGGATGTTTGCAATACAAAGGATAAATGCTAGAGGTGATGGACACCTGATTCCCCCAGATGTGATTATTATAGATTGTATGCCTGTGTCAAAACATAACATAGGATGGGCGCAGTGGCTCACCACTGTAATCTCAGCACTTTGGGAGGCTGAGGCGTGTGGATCACCTGAGGTCAGGAGTTTGAAACCAGCCTGGCCAACATGATGAAACCCCATCTCTACTAAAAATACAAAAAAATTAGCCAGGCATGGTGGTACATGCCTGTAGTCCCAGCTACTTGGGAGGCTGAGGCAGGAGAATCACTTGAACCCCAGAGGTGGAGGTTGCATTGAGCTGAGATCATGCCACTGCACTCCAGCCTGGGTGACAGAGTGAAAAACAAAAGAAAACAAAACTAAACTAAAACTAAAACTAAAAAACGTAACATATATGGCATAAATATATGCACATACTATGTACCCATAAAAATTAAGAAATATAAACTTAAATAAAAAGAAATAAAAATTTAAGTGATGGAAACAATGTTCTTTAACTTATTTGCAGTTTAAAGCCACTAGCAAAAGAGATTACTGGAGATATTATTCCACTATTTTACCAAATCACATACTGTTACTATCTTTTACCTGCACTCTTGAGTAAGGTGGAATAGGTGAATGTTAGTGGCATAATAACACTTTATTGAATGCACAATAGTCTTAACATGTTAAAAAATGTACAATTAAAGAATTAAGTTCACACATAATCTAAAAATTTTTAAATGTACTCCATTTTATGGCACTTAAAGTTACAATAGTAACTGGGTATTTATTACTTTTTTTTTTTTTTTGAGATGGAGTCTTGCTCTGTCACCCAGGCTGGAATGCAGTGGGCGCGATCTTGGTTCACTGCAGCCTCTGCTCCCCGGTTCCAGTGTTCTCCTGCTCTCGCTCCCAGAACCTGGGATTACAGGCACACACCAACATGCCTCGGTATTTTAATTTTTGTTTTTTAATAGAGGCAGGGGTTTCACCATGTTGGCCAGGGTTGTCTCTAACTTCCTGACCTCAGGTGATCCACCCACACTGGCCCTCCCAAAGTGTGGGATTACAGGCATGGACCACTGTGCCCAGCCCCCTTTAATTTAACTAATTAAAAATGCTTTTCTCTCACTATAATGCAGAATATTACTCTGAACACATACCTCATCATCAGTACTATAATTAAACACAAGAGCCTAGATTTTCATTATAAATCTACACTTTAATGTCCTTATTCTTTCTACAGAAAAAATCAGTGTTTACCTAACAATAAGAATCATATCTCTGACACAGCAACATTCATTCATGCTTTTCACAATAGGAAGAAAAAACAAATAATGTAATTGGAGAATTTGAATTCATCATTATTTACCTTGTTCAATAATCTGCAATCTTTTAAAGTAAAGTATACTTTTAAGTATATTAACTCCCTAAAAATCTTTCTCACTCTGGTTTTTGTTTTGTTTTTACTTTTGAGGCGGATTGTGCTCCTGTTATGGCCCAGGGCTGGAATGCATGGTGGTGATCTTGGGGCCTCACTTACACCTCTTCCTTCGGGTTCAAGTGATTTCCCTTTGCCTCAGCCTTCCAGTAGCTGGATTACAGGCATGGCCACCCCACTCCGGCTATTTGTTTTGTTTTTTTCTTTTAGTAGGAGACGGTTTCACCGTGTTAGCCAGGATGGTCTCGATCTCCTGACCTCGTGATCCGCCCGCCTTGGCCTCCCAAAGTGCTGGGATTACAGGCATGAGCCAATGCGCCCGGCCGTAATTTTGTATTTTTAATAGAGATGGGGTTTTTCCAAGTTGATCAGGCAGGTCTCAAACTCCTGACCTCAGGTCGGCCTCCCAAAGTGCTGGGATTACAGGTGTGAGCCACTGTATCTGGCCTTACTCTTTTTACAGTTATACACAAATAATCTAACAACTTGAGTTATATTTTCTATACTGAACACTCTGATTTAGTGTAATGTCTAAGGTGTCAGTAACTTACTTATTTCTACTGTAAATTCTGACATTTACATAGACTAATTGTGAATTAAATATTTTTCATACTTCATCTGCAAAAATATATTTTAGTATAAATTATCTGGTGTTTTCTAGGCTATAGTTTTTTTAAAAATGTATTTCCAAATTTATTACATTTGCAAGATTTTTGTCCGATATAAATTATCTGATTTTGAACAAAGTTTGAGCAACTGCTTCAGGGTTTCCCTCTAGTATAAAATGTGTACAGGCCGGGCGCGGTGGCTCAAGCCTGTAATCCCAGCACTTTGGGAGGCCGAGACGGGCGGATCACGAGGTCAGGAGATCGAGACCATCC